AACGATGAGTATATAGTATCAATTATCTATGTTTGGCAATTAGTAAGGAGCTGTGGCTCTGAATATTGTTTCTTCATCTTATGTAATGTATTCTTAGTGCTGATAGTTTCTTTTTCATTGAAGCTGGGTTTGTCCCAGCCTACATCCTGATATTACCAGGTTCTGGCCACTAGATGGTGCTGTTCATGCTATTAGGTGATTATTTTCACGAAACCCCCCCCCCCCCCCCCCCCCCCCCCCATTGTTAAAAGGATAGTTCAACATGTAATTGTGTAATTTGGGTGGTTTTCTTACCCTGTAAGCAGTCTATGGACCAGGTATGACAGCAACCCATGCTTTGGTTTTGTTTACCTGGCCACTGTTTGGATGATTTGGACATGAAGCGTGAAAATGCAAATATCAGTACCATTGACTTGAATTGGATATGTGACACATATGCTAAAAAGTTAGCATTTGAAACAGTAGCCATGTAAACAAAACCAAAGCATGGGTTGCTGTCATTCCAGAGGGCAGGGTTTCCGTTAGTCGTCTTTTGTCCGGAATAAGTAGTCAATGTAGCGTGAGAACTGCTGCTACAGCTCATCAAACAGCTTGTTTGTTGCCGCTGGAGTGAAACGTGCTTTTATAAGCCCAATCATTGCGCAACAATTCTAAATGCAATTGCGTGTTAAAAACAGTTTCGATGGCCAAGATTAAGATTAGCAATTTTTTATTTCTCAACTGGTAATTACAGTACTCTTCCCATTCGCCATTCAAGTCCATAGGTAAGTAGGCAGGCTTCAGTGTGTCTCACACCACTTTGCAATGAGCTGGAGGCAGTATGCGTTTTGAAAGCATATACTTAATTGTTTGAAACTTGAACGTTTTACTACATATTATGAGGCATGTCTTAACTTGCTTCAAAGTAGCCTAGCCAAGATCTAACCAAACGTGCAGACAATTATTTTATAAAGACTATTTCTCTCATTCTATTGGTTTTCAAATCAACTTTCTTTCATTGTCCAGTAGCCAAAAGCACAATCCTAATCATATTAGCAACCCATGTTAGTTGCTGCATTTTTAGATCTCCCCTCTTTCTAAATTTCTAATGGATATTTTCATCTGTCTCATGAAACCACTCGCATGTGCGGTGCGCTTTTGACAGCGGTGTTTTCCCATTAATTGCATTATGGAATGAACATTTGTGCATAGCTTACTGCCTTGTGTTCCATGCTGTGCTTTTTAATGTGAAGAAATAAGTTAATATTTTAAGCTAAACGTTGTGATCTGTTACATCAGCCTTGTTTTAAAAAACAACAACAAATGAGATGTAGCCGAGGCCTACTGGTTGTATGAATCTGGGATTTATCGTCCCACAGCTGTCCCAGAGTCTGTTTTGGAATAGGTGATTTTATATTTCGCACAGAACGACAAGCTGACCGGTAGAATAGGTAAACTTTTCTACTATGGGGGATAGTAGATTGACATAGGCTAGTGATTTTGCTCTTCGTTACTCGTCTTGTTGGCTGAGAAACTAAATGTGGACAGTTATTCTAACGTCTTTTAAATTACGCATTGGAATTCGGTAAAAAGGATGCATGCCATTGCTTCCTCGAGTTGGCTGTTTTGTTAAGATGAATTACAATAATCTATATGTGATTTCTGTCATTCTGAGCACTGTGTGTGGAAGCCCTAATCAGGTTACGCACCCAATGCAAATGTCCGGCACCACATTTTCCTAATGGAATCCCTGCCAGAGGGGTATCCTACGAATCAAGCTAGATCTACTCTGGGTTTTCTAAAGCTAACCAGCTTTAGTTAGCTTCACATTCCAGCTCAGGCTTCATCTGTACTACGACTGGATATTGCTCGTCCGCCTGCCGCCAACTCTAGCAGGCTTGTAACTGCATGTCGCACATGGCTAGTCAAACGCCAAACTTTTCATTGAGGCAATGCTGAAACCTCGAGTCAGTGCCATATTTTCATTTGTGGCAAAATCAAAATGAAAGAAAAGTGAATTTGCTAATTCAGCGTGCTATGGTGTGAAGTAGGCTTTAAGAAGTGCCGTCTTTATTTTATTACTTATCGTTTATGCTGACTTTGTGCTTATCAATGCACAACCATAGGCACCTTTTTTCCCACTCCTATCGATTTAAAACCATTTGATTGTCATACAAAAGTGTTACTGTGCGTGAAGTTTAAAATGCATTCTGTCATTACTAAATGTGTAATGTAATATTTTAATATTCATATTTTTTAACACAAACATTTGATTTAATAAAATATTGAATCCGTCTTCCTCGAATGAAGGGGATGATGACGCAATATTTGCAAGAGGGAGGGAATCTGATTTAATTGGTCCTCAACTCGTGGCTGTCATTTCATTTATTTTACCTTTATTTAACTAGGCAAGTCAGTTAAGAACACATTCTTATTTACAAAGACGGCCTACACCGGCCAAACCCGGAGGACGCTGGGCCATTTGTGCGCCACCCTATGGGACTCCCAATCAGGGCCGGTTGTGATACAGCCTGGAATCGACCCAGGGGGTCTGTAGTGACGCCTCAAGCACTGAGATGCAGTTCCTTAGACCACTGCGCCACTAGGGAGCGAGTTAACTGTGAGTTAGCCTGCCCTGGAGCAGGTTAGTTCTGAAGGATTCGTTGCCATAGAAATTTACCTGGCTAAAAGGTGAGCCATTTTAGTATGACCGGATATCCCAATTTGAACTCAGAGTTGACCAAAGTTATCTAGTTAATGCTGCAAAACTGCTTTGTAGGATACCCCTCTGGTCCATAGACTGCTTACAGGGTAAGAGAACCAATGTAATTTGGGTGACCTATCCCTTTAACAATGAGGGCGGAGGGGATTCTTAAAAAAATGATCACCTAATAGCAGGAACAGCACCATCTAGTGGTCAGAACCTGGTAATATCAGGATATACGATGGGACATAAACCCAACAACTTCAATTACTAATTTCTCTGAACAGAACCCCCCCCCCCCCCCCCCCCCCCAACCACCAAATTCACTGAGAATACATTACATAGGATGAAGAAACAAAGCTCCATACTACTTGTCAAACAGAGAACTGATACTATATACTCGTTGTTGGGGTGGGATTGGCATGGGGGTCCGTGGGTGGCTTTTGGCCATTTCTTTGGATTCCTTATGTCTAACTCATTGTTAGAAAAAAAGTTTGGTCAAAATCGGATGTTGGGTACTATATTTATTCAATATTATATGAATCCTATAAATTAAAATGGCCGATTGGGGTGCAATCAATTACATTAATTGCTCAGATTAAATTATATTTCAACAAAATAATGTTGCAGGAATGCCAATCTTACCTGTTTATAACAAACCATTTCAGAACACTGAGATGGTGGGTGTCAAACCTCTTTCTTGTGCTTTTTGAGGTGGAATGACCCAGCTGTCTGGTCAGTTCTCATGCTACTGTTAGCAATGGATGGAGTCCACAAGTCCCAATTCAAGCGGCAAAATAACAGGTCAACTACATTTGCATATGTAGATGTTTTGTGCATATCTCTGAGTTATTAATTAATGAGTCTTTTGACAAAATGGTAGCCCACTGATCAGCGAGGTTTTGCTCTGCTACCTGCTCTGTAGAGACATGAATTAGAATTTAAAATGTCTTCTTCAAGCGTTTGTGTGGTTCTTGTCATGCCCCTCTCTCCACCTGAGGTTGATCATGATCTGAACAGAGAGACATGGGGTTATAATGTATATGTGATGAGACCCCCCAGTCTCTCAGGCTCCTCCTGGCTGCTCTCTCCTCAGCCTGTCTCTGTCTCTCGCTGTCAGTCAGTCAGCCCTGGAGCTGAGCTTCCCATGACTTTGACGGTATGTCTGCATTGCTCTCTGTTCGGTCTTGTCTGTATATTTTGTATTTGTGAACACGTGTTTTATTTATGCGTGTTTGTTTGATCTTTTGTCAATGTGCCTGTTTTGATGTGCTTCTGTCTGTGTCCCAGTGTGTGTCAACCTTGGCGACTGTGTTCATTAGTGTTTGTGGTAGTGATAGAAGTGCTGGCTACTGTGCTGAAGGTCAAAGCTGTGTTTGTGAGGACTGCAGACTGCATTGCTGACACTGTCACTGCAGAGCTCCTTGGCAGATCAGCTGGGTGCAAGACACCTCTTTGACATAAACATTGTACAGTAGACACTCTGTCCCTGTCCCTCACACACAACAAACCCACTGTAGAGGGATGGCTAAACCATGTCTGCCAGTGCCAGCACAAACAAAAAGCAAAAACAAAAACAAGGTCAGCGCACTGACAGTTGTATGGTGGTCTGGCTTACCCTGTTTTGCTCTGTATGTAGCCCTTGAGGTGATGAGGCACTTCCTCATGCATTTATGCCAGTGTGCTTTTGTTGTGTGTGTGTGTGAGAGAGAGATAGAGGGAGGGAGGGAGTTTAGGTGACAGCTGCCTTCTGGCTCGTTAGGCTGTACTGGGTCTACCAGCAGAATTTCAACAAGCTTCTGCTTTATCCCGCTATGAAAACACAGACACACACAGGTGTTACATAATATTACATTTTACAAAGCTGGCACACCTTTGAATTGCAGATATTGGTGCATTTTTCATCTTTTATGTGGAGTGCTGTTTTTTTTCTGACATGGAAGTAAGAGCAAGGCTTGTTGGGAAATGTGACTTACTGTATGTCTCTGCCCCTGCTTTTTGTTTTCTCTTGGAATAAGACAACTAGAGAGGAGCAGAACTGGACTTCTATTTCACAACCATGTTGTTTGTGTCAATTATTAATAATCATATTCATACTAAATGACGGTAACATTGCTCTTTAGACTAATCCGTCCAATTTTCTAATTCTTAAGATTGCGGAGTAGTAGTTCTGCCTCGGACTCAGACTTGAACATGGAAACAAAGGGCCATGTGGCACAACCCACACACAGAACATAGAACTGTGCCATGTCAACAATGGCTTTTCTGTCCACTTACGTATGCTCACAAGGTAACAATCTTCTCACACACGTCAGCCATGCAGAGGGGGAGGGCGAGAAACGGGGGGAGGGAGGGAGGGGGAGAGAAAGGGAGGAGGGAGAGAAACGGGGGGAGGGAGGGAGAGAAACGGGGGGAGGGAGGGGGAGAGAAAGGGAGGAGGGAGAAGAAACGGGGGGAGGGAGGGAGAGAAACGGGGGGAGTAGGGGGAGAGAAACGGAGGGAGGGGGAGAAGGAGGGAGGGAGAGAAAACGGAGGGGGAGAGGGAGGGAGGGAGGGGGGGAGAAAACGGAGGAAGGAGGGAGGGAGGGAGGGGGGGGGAGAAAGGAGGGAGGCGGGGGAAAAACGGACGGAGGGAGAGGGAGAAAGGGAGGGGGGGGAGAACAGGACGGAGGAGGAGAGAAGGAGGGGGGGAGAAAGCTTACTTAATGGGGGGGAGAAACGGAGGGAGGGAGGAGGAGTGGGGGAGAAACGAAGGGGGGGGGGAGGGACGGAAGGGAGGGAAAGGGGGGGGAGAAACGGAGGAGGGGCGGGAGGAGGGGAGAACGACGAGGGAGGGGGGAGATGGGGGGGGGACCGAAACGGAGGGAGGGAGGGGGAGAAACCGGAGGGTAGGGAGGGGGGGAACGGACGGGGGAGAAAGGGGGGGGGAGAAACGGAGGGAGGGAGGGGGGAGAAACGGACGGGGGAGAAACGGAGGGAGGGGGGGAGATGGAGGGGGGGGGAGAAAGAAGAAACGGAGGGAGGGGAGGGGGGAGAAACGGACGGGGGAGAAACGGAGGGAGGGGGGGAGATGGGAGGGAGGGAGGGAGAGAAAACGGAGGGAGGGAGCGACTCTGGAGAGAAACGAGGGATGGGAGGAGAGAGAAAACGGAGGGAGGGAGCGAGGGAGAGAAACGGAGGGAGGGAGAGAAACGGAGGGAGGGAGCGAGGGAGAGAAACGGAGGGAGGGGGAGAGAAACGTACGGGGGAGAGAGCGAGGGAGAGAAACGGAGGGAGGGAGAGCAGAGTGAGGCAGAGACATGTAAACCCCCCCCCCCCCAGTCAGTCACTTTCTCTTCCTTGTTTTCCTGGGCTCCCACACTCTTAACTGCCTCTTTTGCCAACATGCGTACAGTACCCTTAACCTTTTTCCCTTCACTCCTTCATCTGCTCTCTTTCATCTTCTTGTGAGTCACTCTTCAGTTCCCCACCTCACACTTTCTCTCCCTCTGTCCTGTTTTGCTTGTCAGTGTGGATTTGAGCTGCTAGCAGAGACAAACACCCTCAGTCAGTGTCAGGAACAGCCTCATTAGCTGAGGGCTGGGGTGAATATGTAGATTAACAGATCAACATTATTGGCCAGTATCAAGTTATGCTCACAGTTGTGTTTTTCTATGAGGTATCCTTGGGTCAAAGGCTCTTTCTCCTTTAATGGGAATCTGAAAAGCATTGTCTGGATTTGAGGGAGGTGTTGCGTATGCCTAACAGAATGTTTTGTTTCCCTCTTTCAGTCTCACTCTGAGTCCAAGGCAGGCGGGCGTCCCAATATGCCGCGATGCCGGAATTCTGTCGCCACGACGGCAGACGAGCAGCCACACATTGGCAACTACCGGCTGCTAAAGACCATTGGCAAGGGCAACTTTGCCAAGGTTAAACTGGCCCGGCATGTCCTTACAGGGAAAGAGGTGAGGATAAACCAAGTCCAAGCATTGGATTTACTGACTAGGATGTTTTGATCTTCTGTTGGATGTGGTTTTATCATTGTGTGTCCAATGTTGGCAGTGCAGGATCCTACTTCACTTGACCCATATCACTTAACATTCTGATCTCTTTAGCATGGATCATTATGGATCAGTGTGTTGTGAACATGTAACTGCCAGTTGTTTAATATGCTACTTTCGTGCCATGATTGTTGGGAGTGGGGCAGCACATGGAGAAACAAAACAGAGCGCAGTAGAGTGGGGAAAAGTCCTCATTCAGCTCTTTCCACTGGCGGGGTGGTGTAGCCTAAGTCTGCGATTCTACTCATGTCTAACGTCATTGATTTTTCTCCTATAAAAGGTGGCTGTGAAAATCATAGACAAAACGCAGCTCAACTCTTCCAGTCTCCAAAAGGTGAGTGCAAGTAGATTCTGTGTTAATGCCATGCGGTTGTTATCTTGATTTGTGTTCGGATAGACTTTTTATTTCTGAAATAGAAAAAATAAAGCTAAAATCAATGTAGATGGCAGTTCCTTCCGAAGGACTTAGGGCAGGATATGGGGGTAATTACATGAAATTAGACCCAAGTACTTCCTGTGGAGGGGGTTTGGGTGGGGTGCCAGTACTTTCCTCAGAAATACAGTCTATGCATGAAGACTCCCACACAGTGATTTGCACATAGATATAGTTTTGGAGTATATGAGTAAAAATGATATAGAATAAACTGACTGTTTCATATACCTCGACTAACCTGTGTACCGGTACCCCCTGTATATAGCCTCGCTACTTTTATTTTACTGCTGCTCTTTAACTGCATTGGTTAAGGGCTTGTAAGTAAGCATTTTCACTGTAAGGTCTACACCTGTTGTATTCGGCGCATGTGACAAATAACATTTGATTTGATATAAACTGATTGATCCTCTGTTAATGTCTTGTCTATTTGTTCTGCTGTCTATAGCTGTTTCGTGAAGTGAGGATCATGAAGTTACTGAATCATCCAAATATCGGTGAGCTTTGTGCTGCCCTCCTTTTAAGTTTCTCATCAATCCCCAACCAAATGTGTTCCGCCTGCTTATTGGTGCCTTCTTGTGTAGAGGTCTGTCTTAGAATATTGAGCATATACTATGAAATTGACAGTTAAGTTGTGATGGGTGTTGTCCAGGACTGGGCGGTGTACCGTATTTTACCAGTATTGATGGACGGACCGTTTTGGGTTTTTACTTTACCTTCTATAACAGTATTTGAATGTTTGGTTTGTTAAATGTGATAGCCGTGTGTAACTTAAATTTTTATAGTTTACTTAACTACTTGAGTCATCTCTCTCCCTCTCTCTCGCTCCATAAAACATAAAATATAATCAAATACCGTCATACCGTCCAATTAAAAAAATAAAATACGGTGATATGATATTTTGCCAATATTGCTCAGCTCTAGTGTTGTCTTGATGGAATTGAACTGACCTTTCCTCTCTCTTTTCCTTTGTTTTTCTCCTACTTGTCTTTTTTCCTCTAGTTAAGTTATTTGAAGTGATTGAGACTGAGAAGACACTGTACTTGATCATGGAGTATGCCAGTGGAGGTGAGCGAAGGCACAAGACACTCCGTTCAACAACTCAACCTGAAATTCTGTTTTCAGCCTCTGTAATAACATCAATGCTGAGTCCCAGTTCTGTCTCGCTCTATTCACATGCACTCTGTTCCTCACTTGTCCTTTCATCCCCTTTTGTGTCTCCACTGCTTTCTTCTTCCTTCAACACTCCCCTACGTTCTGTCTCTGTCTCCCCCCTCCATCCCCCTCATCAGGTGAGGTGTTTGATTACCTTGTTGCTCACGGGAGAATGAAAGAGAAAGAGGCCAGAGCCAAATTTAGACAGGTGAGACTGTCTGCTGGTTTCTTTCCTGTTTTTGACACCGTTTTGACAATGTTATTGACGATACTGTTTAAAAGGGAATTGTCATCCTAGCTGTTGCTCCTTCTCTTGCTACAGATAGTTTCAGCAGTACAGTACTGCCACCAGAAGTGCATTGTACACAGAGACCTAAAGGTGAGGATAGACAAGAAAAGGAATTGTTTTGAGGAAAAGGATGGCTCCATTTCAAAGTGACAGATCAAGATCATTTCATTATGAGGTACATGTTGGATGTGTTTAAAAGAATGTTACAGAAACTTGTATCAATAATAAATGCTCTCTTTCTCTCTCCAGGCAGAGAACCTACTCCTAGATGCTGACATGAACATCAAGATCGCAGACTTTGGTTTCAGTAATGAGTTCACCATGGGGAACAAGCTGGACACGTTCTGTGGCTCCCCGCCCTATGCCGCTCCGGAGCTGTTCCAGGGGAAGAAGTATGACGGGCCCGAGGTGGACGTCTGGAGCCTGGGGGTCATCCTCTACACACTGGTCAGCGGCTCTCTGCCCTTCGACGGGCAGAACCTCAAGGTGGGCAGGGAACTGTGAAAGAGGAAGGGCTACATGGAAAACAATTGATGTTCTTGAATACCTAGCTAACCACACTCTTATCCTTGTCTTTTGTGCTTGTCTTCCCTTTAGGAGCTGCGTGAACGGGTTTTGCGGGGGAAGTATAGGATTCCCTTCTACATGTCCACAGACTGCGAGAACCTGCTGAAGAAGTTCCTCATTCTCAACCCAACCAAGAGGGGCAGCCTGGAGGTTAATAGTACTTCATCTACCCACTGCTATTTCCTCCACTGGATACAAACACTGTGTAGACAACTATAATGCTACTGTTAGTGCTTTGTTTCCCATCCCCATGTCTCTGTCCTCCCTCTTCTCTCTCTGCTTGTGTCCAGCAGCAGATCATGAAGGACCGCTGGATGAATGTAGGTCATGAGGAGGAGGAGCTGAAGCCCTTCATCGAGCCCCAGCCAGACTATAAGGATCCCAAGAGGACAGGTCAGCACCCCGACCGAGCGGGGGGGTGGAAGAGAGGTGGGGCAGGCGTCTGGTGGATGAGCTGGTTGTAGCAGATGGGTTACTGGGGCGGGGGTTAGAGGTCACACTAATTGGGTGAAGGATCCTCTATCTGAAGGTGCAGAATCTTTCCAGTCTTATTTTACGTGCCGTCTTAAGCCAAAATTACACGGAGACGCCATCAAATGCATGAAATTTGCGTGCGAACTTCGATTCACATACACTGCAAAGCGTATGCCGACATAATTGTCATGAAAATCCTTTAAAAATTGTATATGTTCGCTATGTAGCCCCTGGAAGTTATTGTTGCAAGTTCCTTTTGACTCACCTTATGTCCTACAGGAGCCACCATACCTGGGCTAAACAGTTGTTGTTTTGCTAGCTTCAAGAGGATGTTGTAGCTAATAAACCCGTGCCGTTTATAAACAAAGTCACGTTATTTCTACATAAACAGTTCTCTCTTGAAATGGGAGTCCTTGAGTTTTGCAGCTGTAGCCTGCCTAGGCTATATGCCTATGATCGAAATCAACACAGGTAGGTGGCAATTGTTTTCAAATATTTAGCCTATTTGACTGACAAACCTTAGCTTACACCCCAGTACATTTTAAACTACATCTTTAGTCAACTTAGCATATGGAAGATCATAACAATTCCTCTAATTTCTTTTTTTACAAACGACACACTCAATTTATCTGCATTGCTCTGCGTAGACGCTAGAAAAATACTTGCTTTCTAATTTGATGCTCGCGGCCCGTCTATTTTCTCTCATATGCGTTCTATTTCCAGCGTCGCACTTAAAAAAAACGCGTCTCGTTTGAATTGAGCGTTAGTCTCTGTTACGTAACGTGCCCTTCGCTGTGTTGGCATGTGCCTACATGTTTAGTCAAACTAAATGCTAGACTTTTTGTTAGATGTCTTGTCCTTGTTTGCTACCTTCATTTATTAAATGATATCCCTGTACGATATAACTGTTTTGTCCGTATAACCATGTGCCTGTATATGTGTTTGTTAGAGAACTAGTGACCTGTTCCTTTCTAGTATGTTAGACATGTTAAGTAGTCTCTGATATGCCCCTGTCTACAATGTACTTCTGTCCTTGAAAGGTTGACATTTTTCTCCATTCTGTCCAGATATCATGTTGCAGATGGGCTACTCTGCAGAGGAGATTCAGGACTCGCTGGTCAACCAAAAATACAATGAAGTCATGGCCACATATCTATTACTGGATTACAGGAACACGGAGGTACAGTGTATACACTCACATCTGTAGGAGCGAACGGTGTCCTACTCCTGCCATGGTAATATTGATGACCATCCCTCTTCTCTCTCAGATGGACGAATGTATCAGTCTGTCAATGAAATCCCGCCCAGGAAGTGACCTCACAAACAGCAATGCCCAGTCTCCTTCTCACAAGGTACAGCGCAGTACCTCATCCAATCTGAAGCCCCGGAGAGCAACAGATGCAGGTAGGAAGCTGTTTGCGTTGACGAGGGTACTGCAAATGTACTACTGTTTTTGAGACCTACTCTTATTTTGGTCTCATTCTGTCCGTCTTTGCGTTTCTGTCCCACCCTTTCATTTTTACATTTACATCATTTAGCAGACGCTCTTATCCAGAGCGACTTACAGTTAGTGAGTGCATACATTTTCATACTGGCCCCCTGTGGGAAACGAACCCACAACCCTGGCGTTGCAAGCGCCATGCTCTACCAACTGAGCTACAGGGGACTACAGTCTTTCCTTCTGTTCTTGTTCTTCTTCCCAGGTTCTTCTGCTTCCAAGCGTTCCCAGGGCGACAACAAGCACACAGTAGAGGATTATGGGAGGAAAGGTTCTGGCACTGGCAGCGCCACTAAAGTCCCTCCCAGTCCTTTAGCCACAACGGATCGTAAGAGGAGCACTCCAACCCCCTCCATAGTGAGTAGACTTATTCTTCTACATGCCTGCCACTCTAGGGTTGATGGCATGTACACTACTCTACCTAACATCTCCTCAATCGGTCATACAGAACAGCATCCTGTCCACTGGTACGAGTCGCAGTCGAAACTCGCCAGTCCCTGAGAGGGCTACACTTGGGGTCCAGAACGGGAAGGACAGGTACACACAAGCGCGCACATGAACACACGCTCACATGGCCGTGGAGCTCTGTTTTTGGAGCTAGTTGCGTGTCTAGATGGCCGTGTTTACAAGCAGTGGTCAGCTGGCAATCAATTAAACACATGGCAGCTGGCAGCCAGCATGTGAGATGGAGTCCCGGTGTACATACAGTCACACATTCACACGGGAGCAGAGATTTTAAATCTTTGAGTATGTATTAGTGACACCTGCAATATTTTATGAAGGACTCAGTATGTACTCAAGGCCAGCTTACTCACTCACACAGTAACACACTGCAACTGTAAACAACTCAAACAATAATAATTTCTTGGAACTCTAGCTCACACACACAAACATGGCAAGATGAGTTTGCTAATGCTGACAATTATTTTATATTTGACATTTGTACAATTTTATTACCATACCCTTCACTGTGAAATGTTGTTTAGAATACAGCAGAGTAGAAAGCTAGGTTTAGGTGTAGAACCAGGGGCCTCAGACACACTGACACTTAACAGTATTAAACACATTGACCCTGATAATCAGATCCCACTCCTTAATCTGGGATTTGTGACGCTGGCTGCTCTTGTATGCAGGTTACTTCCAGGCACAAAAAGGGAAAAATGCAGAGGGAAAGTGTTTAAAGAACACGTTCTGTGTGGGAGAGAGGCGGAGCAGCGGTGACTCAGACATGTTTGCTTTAAAGAGATGATTAGAGGGCAAACTGACAGTGGTCAGCTCTAGCGCTACTGGTAGAACAAGTCACTAGCACACATTCTCCAGACACAACAGCCGTTTGACAAAAATGTTAGTCAAATATGCCTTTTTCATTTAGTAGAGTTTTCTAACTTTTCACATTTTTGCCATTGTAATGCATTTTATACCTTTATGCATTTTAAAGCAATTTTTCCATTCCTCAAACTTATGTTCTGTCCTGACAGTTTCTCCCTCTATTTCCATCTCTTCCTTTGCTGCAAGATTTTTTGCGGTGTAATGGTTCCCAGAAATAATGCAGTCTGTCATTAAACTCCCCTAATGAAAGCTCAGTGTTTCCCCTATATTCATTTAGCAGCTGCCACCTCTCGCAAAACAAAATTGTATTTTTTATATATCATTCTTGGGACGGTGAAACGTTTTCAGTCTAAACTTAAAACGACTAAAACCAGATATAAAGTATGTACACTGAACAAAAATATAAACTCAACATGTAACGTGTTGGTCCCATGTGTCATGAGCTGAAGATCCCAGAAATGTTCCATATGCACAAAAAGCTTATTTCTCTCAAATTCTGTGCACAAATTTATTTACATCCCTGTTAGTGAGCATTTCTCCGTTGCCAAGATAATCCATCCACCTGACAGGTGTGGCATATCAAGAAGATTATTAAACAGCATGATCATTACACAGGTGCACCTTGTGCTGGGGACAATAAAAGGCCACTCTAAAATGTGCAAATTTGTCAAACACAATGCCACAGATGTCTCAAGTTTTGAGGGAGCGTGCAATTGGCATGCTGACTGCAGGAATGTCCAACATAGCTGTTGCCAGACAATTTAATGTTCATTTCTCTACCATAAGCCGCATCCAACGTCGTTTTAGAGAATTTGGCAGTATGCCCAACCGGCCTCGCAACCGCAGACCACGGTATGGCATTGTGTGGGCAAGTGGTTTGTCAACGTTGTGAACAGTGTTCCCATGGTGGAGGTGGGGTTACGGTATGGGCAGGCATAAGCTACAGACATTGAACACCGTTGCATTTTATCGATGGCAATTTGAATGCACAGAGATACCGTGACGCAATCCTGAGGCCCATTGTCGTGCCATTCATCCGCCGCCATCACCTCATGTTTCAGAATGATAATGCACGGCCCCATGTCGGAAGAATCTGTACACAATTCCTGGAAGCTGAAAATGTCCCAGTTATTCCATGGCCTGCATACTCACCAGACATGTCACCCATTGTGCATGGTTGGGATGCTCTGGATTGACGTGTACGACAGCATGTTCCAGGTCCCGCCAATATCCAGCAACTTTGCACAGCCATTGAAGAGGAGTGGGACAACATTCCACAGGCCGGGGCCTCCCGAGTGGCGCAGCATCGCAGTGCTAGAGGCGTCACTACAGATCCGGGTTCGGTCCTGGCTGTGTCGCAGCCAGCCGCGACTGGGAGACCCATGAGGCGGAGCACAATTGGCCCTGCGTCATCTGGGTTAGGGTAGGGTTTGGCCGGCCGGGATGTGCTTGTCCCATCGTGGCTCCTGTTGCGGGCTGGGCGCATGCACGCTGACACGGTCGCCAGTTGGACGGTGTTTCCTCCGACACATTGGTGCGGCTAGCTTCCAGGTTAAGTGAGCAGTGTGTCAAGAAGCAATGCGGCTTGGCAGGGTCGTGTTTTGGAGGACGCATGGCTCTCGACCTTCGCCTCTCCCGAGTCCGTACAGGAGTTGCAGCGATGGGACAAGACTAACTACCAATTGGATATCATGAAAAATTGGTAAAAAGTGCAAAAAAACAACATTCCACAGGCCACAATCTGATCAACTCTATGCCAAGGAGATGTTGCGCTTCGTGAGGTGGTCACCAGATACTGACTGGTTTTTGGATCCACGCCCCTACTTTTTTTTAAAAGTATCTGTGTCCAATGCATATCTGTGTATTCCCAGTCATGTGAAATCCATAGATTAGGGCCTAATTAATTTTTTATTAACTATAACTCAGTAAAATCTTAAATTGTGGCATGTTGAGTTTATTTTTGTTCAGTATAGAAAAGATAATGCAGCTATACATTTTTAAATAAGATCAACTTTGAGAACTAACACCCACCAAAATAAAAACTAGACAGTCGGGGAGCATTCCAAAAATGTCATGGCATGGGGGCCTCCATTGATTTTGTTATAATGTTCGAGTCACTCCGATAGCATTAGAACACAGCATAAACCATGGCAAAATTTGTTGAATTACAGGAAACTAGCTTTAAATCTACATCTACAACCGCTGCTCAAAAAACTCCTAGGGGAAACACTGAAGCTGTTATGTTTAGTCATCCAATACAAATCTGCATTATTTGAGATGCTGTGTTGTCTGTGATGTTGATGTGCTTCAGTGTGTTGTTTTCCTCCCCCTCAGTGTCCCTGCTTCCTCCCCAGTTCTAACCTTGTTACCCCATGGCCCTCTTCCACCCCTCACGGGGGACGGTCTGCACTGGGTTTATTCATTTCTCTCCCCCAGCCTGACCACCCCAGGGTCCCGTGCCTCCACAGCCTCGGCAGCTGCTGTCCTCTCCTCCTCCCACCCCCGACATCACAAGTCCTTGTCCACCTCTGCCCACCCCAGCCCCCCAGACATCCATGCACACCGGCCCAGGCAAGTGGCACCAGGGAGGGGAACACAAGGACAGCCACTCTGCCGGAGGGAGAGTAGAGTGGAAATGAAAGGTTTTGGGTTAGATGGTTCCTGGTTGCAGTTCTCAGCATTGGGTATCCAACATCAGTAAAATTGGTAGAAAAATATCAAATGTAGGGATTAAAAGGGTAGCAATATTGCTGTCGAAAAGGCAACCCACTTTTCTATGTCACTTTCCCCCACCCCCTGAAACACTCACCCTACAAGCACCCTGCCTCTTTGTGAAATACCTTTCTCCCCACCACCACTGTCCTTATCCAACCAGTCCTACCACTAATCTTCCACTAGAAAGCCAGATCCTGTCAACCCGTGGCTCCTGTGTACCTGCAAACCCTCAGTTACACATTACACGCCATCACAGTTTTAACTTGGCCCGTCCAGTGCCATTATGTTTTTGGCTGCAGTGAGCCTGAACCCTTTCAGCTCCTGGCTTGTGTGCAGTGCTGTGCATGTCATGTAATCCCTTTTAATACGTTCTGCAACTCCCCGTCCCCATCACAATTTGACATCTCATGGGCCATGCACATTGTTCCAACATTTATTATTATTATTTTTAAACACATTTCTTAATGAACTAGCTGGGATGTCATTCACATGTCAATTGGGTTACGTGTAATCCACTATCACTGAATAGTCACAGCTCATACTGTAGAGCTAAAATGAGCTGTAAGTGAAATTCTACTGTTTTCTCAATTGAAAGGATGTTATAACCTCTGCCAATATGATAATGTGTGTGGTCCATGACATAAATCAACAGTATCACAGCTCCATGCCCCTTCCCCACCCTTTCCTCTTTGTAGCGATGCCGCATCTGTTGTCCTGTTAGTGGTCCTCTGTAGCTCAGCTGGTAGAGCACGGCGCTTGTAACGCCAAGGTAGTGGGTTCGATCCCCGGGACCACCCATACACAAAAATGTATGCACGCATGACTGTAAGTCGCTTTGGATAAAAGCGTCTGCTAAATGGCATATTTATTTTATTTTATTTATGCTGATTGTGTGATTCATGCCGTGTGCCTATGATTTAACACTCAACAAGGCTTCACTGGCCTCACATTCCAAGTCTGTGGTTTATACCTGCTGCCCATGGTGGGTCACCAGGCTGTAATTGCTTTCTTGGCAAGATGTCACTTTACTAGACTTCATCATGGTGGATTTTGCTGAGTGGATGGCACCACAGTTGGGGTGCATGTTGTAGACCAATAGAAATTCATTTTTTTACACATTTGCTTTTGCAAACTGCTTAATCAGGCTTACTTACAACTGTGGCATTTGTATAGAAATGTTATGCTTTTCATTCACTCAACTTTTGAAGCGCAGTTATGTTTTTATCATCAATTCTTTGTGGCAAATGGCTTCAGCAGTTGGAAGACTTTTGATGTGCATGGTCATAATGAAATGTATTAATGTCTCTCCTCTCTCTACTCACAAAACGATCAAAACAGCACCGCCTCTCAGAGAGTACCAGTGGCGTCTCCTTCTGCCCACAACATCGGCAGTTCAACAGCGACGGACCGTTCCAACTTCCCCAGAAATGTGACCAGCCGCAGCACTTTCAGTGCCGGCCAGCAGAGGGTGGCACGGGACCAGCATACCTCCACTTATAATGGTCCCCCATCATCCCCTTCCCTCTCCTACGGGAACAGCCAGGCCCGAAGAGCCGGGGGCACTGGTATCTTCAGCAAGTTCACCTCTAAATTTGTGCGCAGGTGAGAGAATGGGGGAATGGGAATCTTAGATGTGTGATGGGGAAGATGATTAGTGTTGAATCCAATGATGTGATTTTCTGTTATGCTGATCACGTCCTGGTGTTGAACGTCTTGTCATAAGTGAATTACAGTTAGGTATTCATGTTGGGTATTCATGTTTGTGCAGTGTGACCTTTGATCTTTGGACTGTTTGTTATTAGCTTTTGTGTGTCCCTGTGTCTGTCCCTGTGATGGGTTTTTTGTCTGGCCATAAAGTTACTGTGCACGCAATGCGCTTGACTACAAGTACTCCCCTCTTTCAGGTTAGGTTGGTTTGGAGCAGTGCATATTTCTGTGGCTATGGTCAGTTACCACATAGTTGGAGCAGATAGGGAAGTTACTCTGTGTGGGAATATCTTGAAATACAATTTGGAATATCCTGCTAAAGTTTAATTGTTCAATGATAAATTGTACAACACCAGGAATTAAAACCGTATAAATATAACATAATTGGCATGCATGTCTCCCATCCAGTGCTAACGTTAATCCTAATCTGAGTCCATTGTTCATGTAACTGCTCTGCCCCTAACATCCTGAATACTATGGTAACGTCAGGCTACAGTAACAGCCATTTAGTGACAACCTGTTTGGCCGAAGCAGCTCACCACCTGAGGGACACCAGGGGAGTATTTTAATGTATTTGAGTTGACTGACATGCACATGACATGTATAACAGATTGGCTGTGGTTTGTTTTGCACATGTTTGTGTACATAGTTTTTTTTTATTTTTCTTCCCCCTCCCCTTTTTTGTAGAAATCTCACATTCAGATTCCCCAGAAGGTAGGCAAAAATAACCACATACTTGAGTCTTTCTCAACTATTACCTTGTGTCCTATCTATCCTCTGTGAGGCTATCATTTTATGTGTCATGACCCTTAAAAAAATAAAAAATAATATATATATACACATACATACATACAGTGGGGAGAACAAGTATTTGATACACTGCTGATTTTGCAGGTTTTCCTACTTACAAAGCATGTAGAGGTATGTAATTTTTATCATAGGTACACTTCAACGGTGAGAGACAGAATCTAAAACAAAAATCCAGAAAATCACATTGTATGATTTTTAAGTAATTAATTTGCATTTTATTGCATGACATAAGTATTTGATACATCAGAAAAGCAGAACTTAATATTTGGTACAGAAACCTTTGTTTGCAATTACAGAGATCACACTGCAGCAGGGATTTTGGCCCACTCCTCCATACAGACCTTCTCCAGATCCTTCAGGTTTCGGGGCTGTCGCTGGGCAATACGGACTTTCAGCTCCCTCCAAAGATTTTCTATTGGGTTCAGGTCTGGAGACTGGCTAGGCCACTCCAGGACCTTGAGATGCTTTTTACGGAGCCACTCCTTAGTTGCCCTGGCTGTGTGTTTCGGGTCGTTGTCATGCTGGAAGATCCAGCCACGACCCATCTTCAATGCTCTTACTTAGGGAAGGAGGTTGTTGGCCAAGATCTCGCGATACATGGCCCCATCCATCCTCCCCTCAATACGGTGCAGTCGTCCTGTCCCCTTTGCAGAAAAGCATCCCCAAAGAATGATGTTTCCACCTCCATGCTTCACGGTTGGGATGGTGTTCTTGGGGTTGTACTCATCCTTCTTCTTCCTCCAAACACGGTGAGTGGAGTTTAGACCAAAAAGCTCTCTTTTTGTCTCATCAGACCACATGACCTTCTCCCATTCCTCCTCTGGATCATCCAGATGGTCATTGGCAAACTTCAGACGGGCCTGGACATGCGCTGGCTTGAGCAGGGGGACCTTGCGTGCGCTGCAGGATTTTAATCCATGACGGCGTAGTGTGTTACTAATGGTTTTCTTTGAGACTGTGGTCCCAGCTCTCTTCAGGTCATTGATCAGGTCCTGCTGTGTAGTTCTGGGCTGATCCCTCACCTTCCTCATGATCATTGATGCCCCACGAGGTGAGATCTTGCATGGAGCCCCAGACTGAGGGTGATTGACCGTCATCTTGAACTTCTTCCATTTTCTAATAATTGCGCCAACAGTTGTTGCCTTCTCACCAAGCTGCTTGCCTATTGTCCTGTAGCCCATCCCAGCCTTGTGCAGGTCTACAATTTTATCCCTGATGTCCTTACACAGCTCTCTGGTCTTGGCCATTGTGGAGAGGTTGGAGTCTGTTTGATTGAGTGTGTGGACAGGTGTCTTTTATACAGGTAACGAGTTCAAACAGGTGCAGTTAATACAGGTAAAGTGGAGAACAGGAGGGCTTCTTAAAGAAAAACTAACAGGTCTGTGAGAGCCCAGAATTCTTACTGGTTGGTAGGTGATCAAATACTTATGTCATGCAATAAAATGCAAATTAATTACTTAAAAATCATACAATGTGATTTTCTGGATTTCTGGATTTTAGATTCCGTCTCTCACAGTTGAAGTGTACCTATGATAAAAATTACAGACCTCTACATGCTTTGTAAGTAGGAAAACCTGCAAAATCGGCAGTGTATCAAATACTTGTTCTCCCCACTGTGTGTGTGTGTGTGTGTATATATATGTATGTATGTATATATGTATGTGTATATATATATACATACAGTACCAGTCAAAAGTTTGGACACACCTACTCATTCAAGGGTTATTCTTTATTTTTACATTGTAGAATAATAGTGAAGCCATCAAAACTATGAAATAACACATATGGAATCATGTAGTAACCAAAAAAGTGTTAAACAAATCAAAATATATTTTATATTAGAGATTCTTAAAATAGCCAACCTTTGCCTTGATGACAGCTTTGCACACGCTTGGCATTCTCTCAACCAGCTTCACCTGGAATGCTTTTCCAACAGTCTTGAAGAAGTTCCCACATATGCTGAGCACGTGTTGGCTGCTTTTCCTTAACTCTCAATTGGGTTGAGGTCTGGGGATTGTGGAGGCCAGGTCATCTGATGCAGCACTCCATCACTCTCCTTCTTGGTATAATAGCCCTTACATACCCTGGAGGTGTGTTGGGTCATTGTCCTGTTGAAAAACAAATGATAGTCCCACTAAGCCCAAACCAGATGGGATGGCGTATCGCTGTAGAATGCTGTGGTAGCCAAGCTGGTGAAGTGTGCCTTGAATTCTAAATAAATCACAGACAGTGTCATCAGCAAAGCACCCCCATACCATAATACCTCCTCCGTGCTTTACGGTGGGAACTACACATGCGGAGATCATCCGTTCACCCACACAGCGTCTCACAAAGACACAGTGGTTTGAACCAAAAATCTCAAATTTGGGCTCCAGACCAAATAATAAATGTCCACCTGTCTAATGTCCATTGCTCATGTTTCTTGGCCCAAGCAAGTCTCTTCTTCTTATTGGTGTCCTTTAGTAGTGGTTTCTTTGCAGCAATTCGACCATGAAGGCCTGATTCACGCAGTCTCCTCTGAACAGTTGATGTTGAGATGTGTCTGTTACTTGAACTCTGAAGCATTTGGGCTGCAATCTGAGGTGCAGTTAACTCTAATGAACTTATCTGCAGCAGAGGTAACTCTGGGTCTTCCATTCCTGTGGCGGTCCTCATGAGAGCCAGTTTCGTCATAGCGCTTGATGGTTTTTGCGACTGCACTTGAAGAAACGTTCAAAGTTCTTGACATTTTCCGTATTGACTGACCTTCATGTCTTAAAGTAATGATGGACTGTCGTTTCTCTTTGCTTATTTTAGCTGTTCTTGCCATAATATGGACTTGGTCTTTTACCAAATAGGGCTAACTTCTGTATACCACCCCTACCTTGTCACAACACAACTGATTGGCTCAAATGCATTAAGAAGGAAATAAATTCCATAAATTAACTTTTAAGAAGGCACACCTGTTAATTGAAATTCATTCCAGGTGACTACCTCATGAAGCTGGTTGAGAGAATGCCAAGAGTGTGCAAAGCTGGCAACAAGGCAAAGGGTGGCTATTTTGAAGAATCTCAGATATGAAATATATTTTGATTTAACACTATTTTTTTATTACAACATTATTCCATTTGTTATTTCATGGTTTGGATGTCTTCACTATTATTCTACAATGTAAAAATGAAGAAAAACCCTTGAATGAGTAGGTTTGTCCAACCTTTTGACTGGTAGAGTGTGTGTATATATATATATATATATATATATTTTTTTTTGGAAACAATTTGCCATTTATACTAACGCGCCCTGCTCTCTCCATTGCCTGATTCACCCTCGTCTGCTGCTCGGCTCTCTTCATCCCTTTCTGCTTTCTCTCATCCCCGTCTCCTTTTTGACTCAGTTGTTATGGAATATCGTCCTCTGGGTCCTTGGCCGAGTCAATAGAAAACCCTCTGTGCAGCCCAGTCTGTGGCCATGCTACCCAGTGTGCAGAAAGCTTAGAACAGAGAAATGGTACCAGTCTATTTCGCTAACATTCCATTCTTTGTACTCCGTGTTATATGCCAAACCATGACAAGGAGTGGAATCATAGCAGGGTTTTTTTCAGGACCAAAAGGGGCTTAGGTGGTGGGCGTGGCAGGGGGCATGGCAGGGAGTGCGATCGGCCCATCGGCGTGGCTGAATTTTTAGCGGCCCCCCCATCTTGGCGGTGTAGAGCCATTTTATTAATTTTTTAAGGACATTACCTGCAATTCTACATATTCTCCCATGGAGCTGAGAAAAAGTTGCAGTTTTAAAGCTAATTTCCTGCAATCTATGCATTTTTCCATGTGTTCTTTTGCTCAAACATAACAATCTATATTACTAAATTCATTGTTTTGGGAATTTTATTTTGGTGATTGTTAGTTCTCAAAGACTATATTATTAAAGAATATATAGGTCATTATCTTTTCTACATTATATCTGGTTTTAGTTGTTGTATAAGTTTACACTGAAACCGTTTTTCCATCCTGAAAATTAATTTTGGTGACCTGAAAAAAACGCTTAGCCCAAGGATTTCATTTTGATAATTTACTTATGAAGCTTGTATTTGGAATTTATTTCAAATTAATTATTACATAATCAAAATGTGTTGTAGCCTTAATAAATAGACAAGTTATTGCCTTTTTTTTATTTATTTTTTTATGCAAAGAAATAGTTTCAACGGTATTGAAAAACCATCCCGTGGCTATTTCCAAATACCCCGGTCTGTGGTATACTGCCCAAGCCTAGTGGAAAGTGTGGAGGAGTGAGTCAGAGAGGGGGCAGTGGAGTGTTTGTTGTTGGCAATGTAACGTCACTGTGGTATTTTGGGGGGGATATCTCATGCCTTTCTTTCTCTGGTCTGATACCAGACCACTGTCCTGGCTGCATTGCAGTTTGTACTTAATAACCTCATATTTTCAGCAACGTTCTGCTGTTTCTTTTTCATATTTTTTTAACCTTGGCTTATCTGCTAATGCTTAGAGGTTGTTTTTTTCTATTTTGAATGAGTTGACCGAAGAGTCATTAGAGACATCTATTTCTTGGCTCTAATATGATATTCTCAGTGACAAAGATGTCCGTTCAATCAGAAAATAATTGAAGATTGAATGTTTTGACATTGACAAAAATGTGCATCAAGGGGTGCATGTGTATTTTAATTCTTATTGTTGTGGGCACAGACTTAAGGATGTTGGGCACCTTGAGAAACTGAGAACCGGTCCGCAGAATGCCTGCATCTGACAGATGCTGTTCCTTTATTCTTTTTGATGCCTTTCTGTTGGAGTTTGAGGAGAGGGTTATTGGATGGTGGTGACGGAACTTATTAACATAACAAATATGTGATCTCTGACCCTTCATTCCAGTTGTATGCTAAACAAAACAAAAAACAGTTTCCATGGATTGTGTGATTCCACTTTGCGGTGGAGGGAGGGTGACTAAAAACACATTTGAATTAGTAGAGGTACCTAGTTATTCTCTCATAGCCCCCCAAAATGTAGTGGAGCTCACATGAATTAAATCTATGGATATGTACAGTATACTATAGAATCTGGAATTGGAAGGTGCAGGGGTTGCCATGGGAGTTGGTAGTGTTTGTTCTAACCTGGTAATAGTCTAATTGGAATTTGGGGAGACTAAACTTGTGCCAATTTTCTTTGCGGAGCCCGTATGAGGGAGAGGGTCGAGATGAGGCCAGCAGGTGAGGAAAACGATAGTGATAATTTGATCAATCTGTTGATTCAGTGAAAAAAATGTAAATCAAATAATTTAATTAATTGATTAAGGTGGTGTAAAGAATACCATGATTAATGTGATCGGGATAGCTCATTCGATTTTGACAATACAAGCATTGATCTTTTAATAACAGAAGGAGACATGTATTCTGCAGCTTAGTGAAGCTTTCATGTTCATGCTCATGCTGGATCATTGACTCCCCCTGTGATCGAATGCATTGTTAACCAGCCCGTAACATTCCTGTTTTGTCTGTCTCCCCATTCTGTATCTCTCCTTTTATTATATTATATTATATTACTGTCCTTCCCTACTTTCTTTGCCAACTCAGACCCATGTTGACCACTGCTGAGAAGCTGGAGAAGGTCACCCTGAGCGCTGCAGGAGATGATAACAAGGACTTCCTTTCCTCCACCTCTACGGTGCCCAGCACCCCAACCCCGAGCCTGACCTCCAAGGACAACAAGCCCCGCTCGCTGCGCTTCACCTGGAGCATGAAGACCACCTCCTCCATGGAGCCCAACGAGATGATGAAGGAGATCCGGAAGGTTCTGGACTCGAACAGCTGCGAGTATGAGCTGCGGGAGCGCTACATGCTGCTGTGTGTGTCTGGGAATCCCGCCTGTGACGACTTTGTCCAGTGGGAGATGGAGGTGTGCAAGCTGCCCCGCCTCTCCCTCAACGGCGTTCGCTTTAAGCGCATTTCTGGCACGTCCATCGCCTTCAAGAACATCGCCTCCAAGGTTGCCAATGAGCTCAAACTGTGAGCTTGTGGAAGAGGAGTAATGATGATAACAAGGAGTCGGATGGTAGGAGACAGACTGGAGCACGAAGGCAGAGAAGCTGAACTTTGACACAGAACTGAGTTGAGAGATTTTGAGAGGGAGGCAAAGGAGCATGGATATACTTTTTGGGTGGGTGGGGGAGGGCAGAGTCTAGGACAGGTTGGCTAGGGGAGGTCGTGTGTGTATAGACCTTTTGAGGGGATTGTTAATTTTCTTGAGAGGGGGTGTTTGGGTTTTCTGTCCCCTCCCTCCCCTCTGACTTTTCTGTTGTCTTCTGATAGTTTTGTTTCTCTTAAACCTCACAATCCTCTTTTTCCAAAAGGAATTCATTGATGGAAAATATGATGGGAAATGAGTTATAAAGCAATTAACTGATTGTGGGTTTTCATATTTTTCTGTTGCACAAAATGGCCCTGGACTCAGCCAGCTGTAACCCTCAGGCCCTTCTCTCTCCCTTATCCTGCACCAAGGACAAATGGTCTAAGCACCATGTTACTGTACTTGAGCATCTTGCCCCTATTTTCAGCTGTCTGTTTTGAACAGATGAAGAGACCTGCAGTTTGACACTCTGAATGTACAACATGATTAGACTGATGTATCTTAGGTACATCGCATATTCACTACAGTGTAAATTGGTTTTCACATCATGTTCTAATTCTGATCAGCTAATGAAGGCTGCACAAGATTCCTGCTTCAGTGTGGTGGTTCAGAAAGCCATTTTTACATCACAGGACTATGTCTTACTTGAGGGTACAGTGGAAGTGCAGACTTGATTGAACTCTTTGCGCTCTGATTGCGAACCTTCACCACCTTTTACCCCAAGCCCCTTCAATTAGTTTTTGTTTTTCTACAGCAGGGGTAATTTATCTGATGAACTAATTAAGGGCCAATTGATAATTATTGGTGGATTGTAATGTAATTAAGAGTTGCTGGTTGGTTTCAATGTGCTGCACTGGAATGTCTGCGTCTGAGTTCCATTGCCTTTCTCTGGAGAAAATAATTATTAATATTGTTATTAAGAATAAACAAAGTTGGATGATTTATTTGCTTGTGCTCTTCAGTTGTTTAATCAGTTGTATAAGTCATGGATGGATGGTGAAGGAGCTCCAGCCCACTTAATTTGCCCACATATTGCTGATGAATTAAGAAAATGCACTGAATTGCACTAGCTTATCAGTGAGACTAATTATTTTCACCTTATCGCAGATCTACTGCAACAGTATATAGATCCTATTTTTGACATTTCCATCTGCAAAGTTCAGAACGTTTCACCTCACGAAATAACACACCTCAGGACTAGTGAAAGCTAGTCTAATGATGGGACTTCTTCATATTGCTTTTCACACCTGTAAAATATTTTACAATGCAGTTGAACAATAATTTGAGGAAGAACTTTACATTATTGAGAAAAAGCATATGGAGTCACTACATGCGGTTTTCTCTCCTCCACTACTGTCTTTCTGCACTGATCTGAAAGTCCATGCTCCGAGTAAATAGAAGCAAATCACATGAAATAAGCATGCTGAACATTTATACATTACACATGTACAATTCTATAAAATAAGGGCAGACTATGGAAAGGAGACGAGGGAAGGGAAGCCACTTTAGACTATTGGTACGCAGCCGCACACAAGTTAACAAACGTTGCTCTTCGTAATTATCCAGCTAGCTTTAGTGCCAGCTACCGTTAGCTTGCTGCCTGGCTATCACCATTTGATGTCAGTGGGAAGTAGGGCTGTGGTGAAGCCATCAAAGTACAAGGAGAATACCTGCGTAACCTAACTAGCAAGGTGATATTGAAGTTCATTTGAACAGAAATCGAAGAAAGCGACTTGTCTTACAACCTCAAAAGGGCAGCCAGCTAGCTAACAGCTGACGTCTTTAGATTGTTAGCTAACCTGCTGCTGCTGGCAGCTTTTCTGTTAGCTATCTAGCTAGTTGTGGCCCTTAGCTAGCTAACCTCTACATACACTAGCAACATTATTTCTTTAACTAGCCTACATCTACCAAGGTATTTCTATTTGGTCAGAAAGGCACACTTGTGGAAGGTAACTAGCTCGCTAGATATTTCAATTGACTGTCCTTTTGTAACTTCACTTATCAGTCACTAGCTACTAGCAAAGATACTAGCCAACTAGTTAAATAGCCTGGCTGTAATAAGCTAGTTAACTAATGTTAACCCCTAAAAGCCCAGACTGTGCCTGAGAACCCCAGAATTCCCATTTACTCTTAACGATTCCAATGAGGTCTTAATATCTACAGTTGAAGTAGGAAGTTTACATCCACTTAGGTTGGAGTCGTTAAAATTGTAGACCTCCACAAGTCTGGTTCATCCTTGGGAGCAATTTCCAAATGCCTGAAGGTACCACGTTCATCTGTACAAACAATAGTACGCAAGTATAAACACCATGGGACCATGCAGCCGTCATACTGCTCAGGAAGGAGACGCGTTCTGTCTCCTAGAGATGAACGTACTTTGGTGTGAAGATGCTGGAGGAAACGGGTACAAAGTATCTATATCCACAGTAAAACGAGTCCTATATCGACATAACCTGAAAGGCCGCTCCGCAAGGAAGAAGCCACTGCTCCAAAACCGCCATAAAAAAGCCAGACTACAGTTTGCAACTGCACATGGGGACAAAGATCTTACTTTTTGGAGAAATGTCCTCTGGTCTGATGAAACAAAAATAGAACTGTTTGGCCATAATGACCATCGTTATGTTTGGAGGAAAAAGGGGGCAGCTTGCAAGCCGAAGAACACCATCCCAACCGTGAAGCACGGGGTGGCAGCATCATGCTGTGGGGGTGCTTTGCTGCAGGAGGGACTGGTCCACTTCACAAAATAGATGGCATCATGAGGAAGGAAAATTATGTGGATATATTGAAGCAACATCTCAAGACATCAGTCAGGAAGTTAAAGCTTGGTCGCAAATGGGTCTTCCAAATGGACAATGACCCCAAGCATACTTCCAAAGTTGTGGCAAAATGGCTTAAGGACAACAAAGTCAAGGTATTGGAGTGGCCATCACAAAGCCCTGACCTCAATTCTATAGAAAATGTGTTGGCAGAACTGAAAAAGCGTGTGCGAGCAAGGAGGCCTACAAACCTGACTCCGTTACACCAGCTCTGTCAGGAGGAATGGGCCAAAATTCACCCAACTTATTGTGGGAAGCTTGTGGAAGGCTACCCGAAACGTTTGACCCAAGTTAAACAGTTTAAAGGCAATGCTACCAAATACTAATTGAGTGTATGTAAACTTCTGACTCACTGGGAATGTGATGAAAGAAATAAAAGCTTAAATAAATCATTCTCTCTACTATTATTCTGACATTTCACATTCTTAAAATAAAGTGATGATCCTAACTGACCTAACACAGGGATTTCTTACTAAGATTAAATGTCAGGAATTGTGAAAAACTGAGTTTAAATGTATTTGGCTAAGGTGTATGTAAACTTCTGACTTCAACTGTAACTTGTCATATTTTTGGTTTTCGACTGCTGATGCTGCTCTGTCACCGGTTGAGTGCTGAAGAAGTGTCCTGCAGGAATCCTCCTGTACACTTGATACACCCCTTATGTGCAACAGCTAAGTCAAGACTGTCTTTTTAGCTACCATACTAAAATGGTGAAGATATTTGTTGGAAATGTGAACTTCCCAACCACAGAGCCAGAACTGCGTAACCTATTTGAGAAATATGGTCAGGTGTCGGACTGTGACATTCTGAAAAACTATGGCTTTGTGCACATGAATGAGGAGGAGGAGGCCCAGAAGGCAGTGGCAGAACTCCATGAGCTCAATGGGGCGCGAATCACAGTGGAGTTTGCCACTACGAAGGTCCGCAATGCCACAAAGATCTACGTAGGGAATGTCCCTGAGGGGACCACAGCTGCTAAGATAAGAGAGCTCTTCCAGCCGTTTGGTGTGTGACATTGTGAAGAACTTTGCCTTTGTGCACATGCAGAAAGAAAATGAGGCCCATGAGGCCATTTCTAAGTTAAACCACTCTAAACTGGAGGGCCAAAAGATCTTTGTGTCCATCTCCCGCAACAATCAAGCCAGATATGGAAGTGGGGATGACTACCCTCCCCCACCTCACCACTATCCACCTCACCCACACCATGCTCCTCACTACCTCCCCCCTCGAGCTCCACACAGTGACGACTACCCATCTCGTGGTCGCCTTCCTCCCCCTCCCCTCCCTCCACCCCCTACTACGATCGTGACCTATTTGTCTGCCATGACCCCATACTCTTCCAATACTCTTCCTCTTCACGTTACTTTGAGCGGGATCCTTATGAGCGACGGCTTCCCCCACTCCCTCAGTGGCCACTCTCTCCCCACCTTACTTCCTGTTATTACCGGGAGCACAGCCCCCTGTTGCCCCCACCTTCCTCTGCCAGCTATGCACGAAGTGGTGCTGGGCGAGATTTTGTTGGTGGCAGCTCTGTGCCCCCTCCTTCCTCTATGCTCAGGCTTTGATAAGGATGATTACTTTGAGGAGAAGTATGCCAATGGTTTTGGTAGGGGTTACTAAGGGCACTTTTTGAAATTGAAGATTAACTGTATGTGTGTTTGCCATGAGTGCACAGAGAGGTTTTTTTAAGCTGGGCACAATCATATATTATATAGGAAAACGGGTAATAGGAACAAAACTGTACATTCATAAATCTTACTTATCAAAGTCAAATAGCACACTTAATTGATTTTGACTAGTTTTTGTTTATTTGTGATGAATACACGCCAGCCATAATAGCAGTCTATGAATGCATTTTATGAGTGTTTAATTAACAGATTTGTAGACTTGAGGTGGTAGGCTAGTGTCTCAATGTCTGTTGTTAATATTATATGTTGGACTTTTGAAGGAGTTTGGGATTTTTTGGTGTAGTATAGGAATGATGTTTTGTGTAGTAGGCCCTACAATGAGTGGATGGCACTGCATAAAACTATTGATGCTTCTTTGAGACAAAGTTTGAAGGGAAAATTAGATGTAATAATCACTCAGTGTTAAGTTATTTATATCAGACTTTGTCAAATGTATTTTGTCGTCAAGTCCTGAAATACTACTCTTTACTCGTTAGCTAGCTGAATAAACTAAGTTAGTCTATTCCTGGAAACATTGAACTACTGTAGATTACAACAATTATAATTTCTAAAGTGGAAGTTGGAAGAGTTGTATTTGAGTGTTTCAGTGAAAGGTTAGTGAGGGAGGCCTCGCTTCCCCAGATGTTTAGTTAATTTAATTCCGATCTCCTTTGCATTAGTGTAGCCTTTTCTGTAGCCTGTCAACTATGTGTCTGTCTATCCCTGTTCTCTCCTCTCCGCACAGGCTATACAAACTCCTCACACCGCGTGGCTGCTGCCTCTCTAACCTGGTGGTCCCTGCACGCACGACCCACGTGGAGTTCCAGGTCTCCGGCAGCCTCTGGAACTGCCGTTCTGCGGCCAACAAGGCAGAGTTCATCTCAGCTTATGCTACCCTCCAGTCCCTCGACTTCTTGGCGCTGACGGAAACATGGATTACCACAGAAAACACTGCTACTCCTACTGCTCTCTCCTCGTCTGACCATGTGTTCTCGCATACCCCGAGAGCATCTGGTCAGCGGGGCGGTGGCACAGGAATCCTCATCTCTCCCAAGTGGACATTCTCTCTTTCACCCCTGACCCATCTGTCTATCTCCTCATTTGAATTCCATGCTGTCACAGTCACTAGCCCATTCAAGCTTAACATCCTTGTCATTTATCCACTCTCCAGGTTCCCTTGGAGAGTTCATCAATGAGCTTGACGCCTTGATAAGTTCCTTTCCTGAGGATGGCTCACCCCTCACAGTTCTGGGTGACTTTAACCTCCCTACGTCTACCTTTGACTAATTTCTCTCTGCCTCCTTCTTTCCACTCCTCTCCTCTTTTGACCTCACCCTCTCACCGTCTCCCCCTACTCACAAGGTAGGCAATACGCTTGACCTCATCTTTACTAGATGCTGTTCTTCTACTAATCTCACTGCAACTCCCCTCCAAGTCTCCGACCATTACTTTGTATCCTTTTCTCTCTCGCTCTCCTCCAACACTACTCACTCTGCCCCTACTCAGATGGTAATGGGCGGTCGCGACCTTCGCTCTCTCTCTCCCGCTACTCTCTCCTCTTCCATCCTATCATCTCTTCCCTCTGCTCAATCCTTCTCCCTCCAATCTCCTGATTCTGCCTCCTCTACCCTCCTCTCCTCCCTTTCTGTATCTTTTGACTCTCTATGTCCCCTATCCTCCCGGCAGGCTCGTTCCTCCACTCCTGCTCCGTGGCTTGACGACTCATTGCGAGCTCACAGAACAGGCCTCTGGGCAGCCGAGCGGAAATGGAGGAAAACTAGACTCCCTGCCGACCTGTCATCTTTTCACTCCCTCCTCTCTACATTTTCTTCCTCTGTTTCTGCTGCTAAAGCCACTTTCTACGCTAGGAAGCTCTTTGCCACCTTCTCCTCCCTGCTGAATCCTCCTCCTCCTCCCCCTCCCTCCTCCCTCTCTGTGGATGACTTCGTCAACCATTTTGAAAAGAATGTTGACGACATCCGATCCTCATTTATTAAGTCAAATGACACTGCTGGTCCTGCTCACACTGCCCTACCCTATGCTTTGACTTCTTTCTCCCCTCTCTCTCCAGATGAAATCTTGCGATTTGTGACGGCCGGCCGCCCAACAACCTGCCCGCTTGACCCTATCCCCTCCTCTCTTCTCCAGACCATTTCCGGAGACCTTCTCCCTTACCTCACCTCGCTCATCAACTCATCCTTGACCACTGGCTATGTCCCTTCCGTCTTCAAGAGAGCGAGAGTTGCACCCCTTCTCAAAAAACCTACACTCGATCCCTCCGATGTCAACAACTACAGACCAGTATCCCTTCTTTCTTTTCTCTCAAACTCTTGAGCGTACCGTCTTTAGCCAACTCTCTTGCTATCTCTCTCAGAATGACCTTCTTGATCCAAACCAGTCAGGTTTCAAGACTGGTTATTCAACTGAGACTGCTCTTCTGTGTCACGGAGGCTCTCCGCACTGCTAAAGCTAACTCTCTCTCCTCTGCTCTCATCCTTCTAGACCTATCTGCTGCCTTTGATACTGTGAAACATCAGATCCTCCTCTCCACCCTCTCCGAGTTGGGCATCTCCGGCGCGGGTCACTCTTGGATTGCGTCCTACCTCACAGGTCACTCCTACCAGGTGGCGTGGCGAGAATCTGTCTCCGCACCACGTGCTCTCACCACTGGTGTCCCCCAGGGCTCAGTTCTAGGCCCTGTCCTATTCTCTCTATACACCAAGTCACTTGGCTCTGTCATATCCTCACATGGTCTCTCCTATCATTGCTACGCAGACGACACACAATTAATCTTCTCCTTTCCCCCTTCTGATAACCAGGTGGCGAATCGCATCTCTGGCAGACATATCAATGTGGATGACGGATCACCACCTCAAGCTGAACCTCGGCAAGACGGAGCTGCTCTTCCTCCCGGGGAAGGACTGCCCACTCCATGATCTCGCCATCACGGTTGACAACTCCGTTGTGTCCTCCTCCCAGAGTGCAAAGAACCTTGGCATGACCCTGGACAACACCCTGTCGTTCTCCGCTAACATCAAAGCGGTGACCCGATCCTGTAGGTTCATGCTCTACAACATTCGCAGAGTACGACCCTACCTTACACAGGAAGCGGCACAGGTCCTAATCCAGGCACTTGTCATCTCCCGTCTGGATTACTGCAACTCGCTGTTGGCTGGGCTCCCTGCCTGTGCCATTAAACCCCTACAACTCATCCAGAAGGCTGCAGCCCGTCTGGTGTTCAACCTTCCCAAGTTCTCACGTCACCCCGCTCCTCCGCACACTCCACTGGCTTCCAGTTGAAGCCTGCATCTGCTACAAGACCATGGTGCTTGCCTACGGAGCTGTGAGGGGAACGGCACCCCTCCGTACCTTCAGGCTCTGATCAGTCCCTACACCCAAACGAGGTCATATTTTATTTATAAAGCCCTTTATACATCAGCAGATGTCACAAAGTGCTATACAGAAACCCAGCCTAAAACCCCAAACAGCAAGCAATGCAGATGTAGAAGCACGGTGGCTAGGAAAAACTCTCTAGAAAGGCAGAAACCTAGGAAGAAACCTAGAGAGGAACCAGGCTCTGAGGGGTGGCCAGTCCCCTTCTGGCTGTGCCGGGTGGAGATTATAACAGTACATGGCTATTAAGGCCAGATTTTTCTCCAAGATGTTCAAACGTTCATAGATGACCAGTAGGGTCAAATAATAATCACAGTGGTTGTAGAGGTTGCAACAGGTCAGTGCATCAGGAGTAAATGTCACTTGGCTTTTCATAGCCTGGCATTTAGAGGTTGAAATAGCAGGTGCGGTAGAGAGTTGAAAACAGTAGATCTGGGACAAGGTAGCACGTCCGGTAAACAGGTCAGGGTTCCATAGCCGCAGGCAGAAGAGTGGAACTGGAGCAGCAGCACGACCAGGTGGACTGGGGACAGCAAGGAGTCATCAGGCCAGGTAGTCCCGAGGCATGGTCCTAGGGCTCAGGTCCTCCGGGATGGGAGGGAGAGAGAGAATTAGAGGGAGCATACTTAAATTCACACAGGACACCGGATAAGACAGGAGAATAACACCAGATATAACAGACTGACCCTAGCCCCCCGGCACATAAGACTATTGCAGCATAGATACTGGAGGCTGAGATGGGGGGGTCGGGAGACACTGTGGCCCCGTATGACGATACCCCCGGACAGGGCCAACCAGGCAGGATATAACCCCACCCACTTTGCCAAAGCACAGACCCACACCACCAGAGGGATATCAACAGACCACCAATCTACTACCCTGAGACAAGACTGAGTATAGCCATCGAAGATCTCCACCACTGCACGAGCCCGACGGTGTGACAAACCGGACAGGAAGATCACGTCAGTGACTCAACCCACTCAAGTGATGCACCCCTCCTAGGGACGGCATGGAAAGCACCAGTAAGCCAGTGACTCAGCCCCCGTAATAGGGTCAGAGGCAGAGAATCCCAATGGAGAGACAGGAACCGGTCACGCAGAGACAACAAGGGTGGTTTGTCGCTCCAGTGCCTTTCCGTCCACCTTCGCACCCTTGGCCCAGACTACACTCAATCATAGGACCTACTGAAGAGATTAGTTTTCAGTAAAGACTTAAAGGTTGAGACCAAGTCTGCGTCTCTCACATGGATAGGCAGACCATTCCATAAAAATGGAGCTCCGAGATGGGAGGGAAAGGAGAAAGCCCTGCCTCCAGCTGTTTGCTTAGAAATTCTAGGGACAATAAGGAGGCCTGCGTCTTGTGACCGTAGCGTACGTGTAGGTACAGTGGCTTGCTACGCTCAAGTTCTGTTTTTTTGTCTTATTTCTTGTTTGTTTCACACACACAAAATATTTTGCATCTTCAAAGTGGTAGGCATGTTGTGTAAATCAAATGATACAACCCCCCTTGGCATTTTTCCAATTTTGTTGCCTTACAACCTGGAATTAAAATGGATTTTTT